TAATTTATTGCTTGTTAATATTGTTGTAGTAATAGTTGTTGCTGTTGTTTAGTGTTTTTTCGTTTTTTTTTTTTTCTGAATTGGTGTTATATTTCTGTGCCGTGCGTTTAGTCTGTATTGCAGCGAGTTTTTTTTGCGCCTAATGTCCAAATTGCAACTCAGCTGCATTGCAATGCAGTTAAACTGCATTGATTGATTTCTCTTCGATGCGAAGACAATCAAAGATCTGTCATATCTGCGGCGTAGTTAGTTTGTATTATTTGAAATTAAGTGGTTGTGTTTTTCTATGGTAGTTAGAGAGAAATGAAAAGTGTTTGGAATTCGCTTGGTTATAAATAGAGGGGAAAAATCAGACACTCTGGGAATTATAATTAACATTAAATAAGGATATGTTGCTCTATGACAACACGAAAGTAAATTCGAAACAAAAACTCCAAATCCAGAAATTTTATTAAATTAAAAAAAATTAATTTAAATATTATTGGTCGATTTTGCCGGCAGATGTATACCCTCATCCAATGTCAGATTATAAAATATGTGCCCGATGTGGACTATATCGATATTAACTTTATATGAGATATGGGATAATTCTTGGAAAATTTTGAAATACCAGTTTTTTTCAATTGGACCAAAGCATTCCACTATACCTACTACTATTAATAACCACTATGGACCACTAAGGACTTTTAAATTGTATAGATAATTTTTGTACCTCTTATAGCGCCGAAAATTCCCTATTAAGTGTTTCTTGTAAGATAAGTCCACAAAAAATGTCAAAGAATTAAAAACAAATATAGAATATTTTTCGTGACACTCCGAGGCCTTAATGTTTCAAATCACTCTAGCTTCCGAAAAATGAAGTAGGTTGATAAAATGTTACTCAAATGTACATTATGTCTGCAGGACTTTTGGTATTGAAAATTTATGATTTAGGTCTATGTTTTGGTGTAGCTTCCATATAATGGTACCTCACATCTTTCGGTATTTCTTATAGCCCCCATATAGCGGTACCTCCCGATATTCTGCACTTTGATGATTTTAGCGACATTATTCACCGGAATTGTTTCAAATTTGGTATTTGAAGTTCGTAATAAATACTACAGCCTAAGAGAGAAAATTATCTGGCATGTCCAAGTTTTGGTATAGCCCCCATACCTCCCTATATTCGGTATTTTGATGATTCGTTCCAAGTGGTGCAGGGTATTAAGAGTTTGGACCAGCCGAGTTTACAGCATTATTACTTGCTATATTTTAAATATATTTTGTGACTACAAATTATGTATGCAATTTTTCGTCAAATTTATTTGAAGGCACTCAGCATTTAATTAACATTTTTAGACTTCTTTGAGATCCTGCGAGGCATTTAATTTTTTTATAAAAATTCTTTTACGGTTCTCGTAGGTCTGAAAAGTTGCGGAACAGTGTCAGTGTCTATGACATCCAACATTTTTTAAAGACACAACAAATGTAGGAAATTTAGAAAATGTTTGTAGAACTCCGACATAGATTATAGAACATACTTTGGAGGTTTCTGAGATATATCCTAATTTATAGAAAAGTTTTCATGGTCATGGAACAATAATATTTTTCCTGATCTATAAAATTTTTTAGAAAAATATTCGTGCTCCTATGTATATATAAGGACCTTCAAAATTTTGTAGTGAATTTTACTTTAAACTTTGAGGATCTCAACATTGTATTAAATTTTTTTTCTGTTGACTACAGAACATGTGTGATTTCGAAGGATCTTGAAGAATTTCAAAAAAAACCGTTAAATGAAAACCGGAGGTACAATTATATGGGGACTATACGATATCATGGACCTACACTGGTGGCCAAAACTAAAGCAACTGAAATTACAAGGAGAATGAATGCCCTGTAACTTTTTCAAAAATTAAGAAAATGAGAAAGTTTTTCTTGTTTTAAATTAGGTACTTTATTCACTTTTTAAGAACCTAAAACATAAAACCAAAATTCATTTTTATATAAAAAATTATGTTTGGTAAAGTCAATTAACCCGATTTTGGCTTGGACAACACAAAAGCAACTCTGTTGTACATTCATATAACCGCTGCAATTTCAGTGGTTTTTACTGTGATATTTATCGCTTTTTGCTTCCTTCGACAATTTCGCTTGTCATAAATCCTTTTTGAGAAGTTTTTTACAACAGTATATGTTTTTCTTTTCGTTTTTTAAGTACTGCCAAAAAAAAATTTAAAAATGGCTAGAAACAAATACTGTACCTGAATAAAGCAGCAAATTATCAGTGATTATCAAAACAACATATCACAGTAAATGATTTCCGAGAAATATTTCATAAATATTTATGTGATTTCAAAATTATGTCTGTGCACTAAGTCGGTTTTTTGAAACTGGATCAGTAGTAACAGTCCATAACGGATGAAGGCCGTGAAGAACTACAGCCCATACTGATCCACAAATTGTGAGAGAAATAAAAAACAACTATTTAAGAGTTCAACAGGATTGGTGAGAGAGCAATCATTGGATATAAGCTCGAGATCAGTGCGTAGACGAGTAGTGGCAGCTGGTCTGCGTGCCCGTAAGACATCAAAAAACCATTTATATCTGAAAAAATCAAAAAGGCTTTCGGAAACGATAATATTAAGTGGAATCAAGCTCAATGGAAAAAACATTATTTCTGGGATGAGTCTACGTTTAATATTAAAGGCTCAGACGTGAAAAATTTTACGGTGAGAAGACCAACAAATGAAGGACTCAAACCGCAGTGTTGCAAAGGTACAGTGAAGCATGGGGGAGGGTCAAAAATGGCGTGGCGCTATTTTTCTTTCTATGGACTTGGGTCTATCCATAAAATAAAGGAATTTGTGGATCCGTTTGTTTACAAAGATGTGTTGGACATCACGTTGTTCCCTTACGCTGAGTAAAATATTGGGCTGATTTGTGTGTTTCAGCATGACAATGATCCCAAACTTGTATCAAAACTTGTCAAATATTGGTTGCGGGAGTCAAAAATTCATGTTTTGTTATGGCCGGCACAATCACCTGACCTAAACTCCTTAGAAAGCCTTTGGAGTATCGTAGATAGGAAGATCAAGAGAGATTCGGAAATAAATAAGCACAACATTTTCTAAAGAATTCGGGGTGCCTGGGAAAGCACACCCAAGGATCAAATTGAGCGTGTTATAGATTCAATGCCTCGTAGGTGTGCAGCTGCTATCAAAAATACTGGTTATGCTATCGACTACTAGCCAAAATTTAATTATTTTAAAATAAAAAATCAAAAGTTGCTTTAGTTTTGACCAAGCAAAAATTGGGTCATTTTAGTTTTTCACATATTATTTTTCGTTCAAACTTATTTTTGTATTTTTATTTTTAGTTTCTTGAAAGTGAATTAAACCCCTCATTTAAAACTGGAAAAATAATTACGATTTGTTTATTTTTGTAAAAGTTACAGGACATTTATTGTCTTTGCGATTTAAGTTGCTTTAGTTTTGGCAACCAGTGTATATAGACAAATCTCTCCCAATGGGCAAATTACTCGTAAGAAACCCCTTGTGTGTATTTTCAAACAATTCCATTCCAAATGTGGCTGAAATCATCAAAATACCGAATATCGGGGGTACCGCTATAAGTGTGATATAATATATCGTGGACCTATTTAGACAATTTTCTTCCGGGTGTAAAGTACCCAGAAGGAACTCTTTGTGTGCATTTTGAAGCAATTCCATTGAAAATGTTGGCTAGAATCATCATATACGATATGCTGATGATATGGGATATACGATATCGTGAACCTTTAAAGACAATTCTCTTCCGGGGTGCAAAGTACTCACAATGAACCCCTTGTGTGGATTTTCAGACAATTTGATGAAAAATGTGGTAAAGTAATCGAAATACCAAATATCGGCGGGTACCGCTATATGGGGGCTATACGATATCGTGGACCGCTATAGTCCATATTCGAACTTGACCTGCTTGCAGACAAAAGAACGATCTGTGCAGTCTTAATTCGTTTTGACTCTAGCGTGATTACAAACGGTCGGACAGTACTAAATCGTCTTCGAATTTTACGTTGATCAAGAAAATATGTATCTATGTTAGGTCTACAATTATTTTTTCGATGAATTACAAACGGAATGACGAACCCTCCATATACCGTCCATACTATGTATGGGGGAGGGTATAAAAAATGTAAATTCGTTCGAGTTTAAGACTTAGAAAATTATTAGTGGTCCTGTGCGGCCGTCGAAAATTCATTTTAATCCCTTAGAATTTTTTTTAGAATAATTTGCATTAAGATCTCAAAATATTATATAAATTATTTCATGGACCTGCGAGCTCTACAAATTTATTTAAAAATTTTATACGTAATCAGATGCTTACGGCCTACAAAATTATATATAATTTTTTAAGTGCGCTTCCAAGGTCTATATTTTAAATAAATTCACAATGTTGAATTTCAAAAAAAAAAAAAAAAAAAAAAAAGTGATCTATTTTGTTTTAAATAGTTTTTGAGAGCCCATGAGGAGTACACAATTTTGTACACTATTTTCTTACAGAAATTTGTACCTTTTTTAGTATTTTCTACTACTGGGTTGGGTATGGATTTTAAGCTTGAAATTAGGCCGAAACTCTAATTCAAAATATTCATTACGAATTAGGTTGCAAAAGACACGAGCGTATCTCAGAAAATAAATATTTATTTTCTGACCAAGTCGATATATAAGAACTTATGTGATCGACTTTTAGTGCCAAAAATAATAACCTACCGTGCGACATGCCTTACTTAAAAGAAATTAATTTTTGCTAAATCATGCCACAAACTGTTGGACCAGGGCACGTGCTTAAACTAAGCATTAATTTTCGTGTTCATTACCAATTATGGTTCTCATGAAGGACTATATCTGTTATATTTTGTGTCAGAATTAGTTTTCCAATTGATATTCATGGAAGAATTTTAATTTCTTAAATCCCTTTTTTATATTTCAATAATTCTTAAATTTCTTTCAAATTCTTACCTTTTGGGATAGGGAAAACGCCTATATTTGAAGGCTGTTTCAACATCGCGCATCTTCATTTTGAAACTTTTATCGGACATTAAGCTCATGTAGAGTAAATTGCAAAAACCTCTAGGTGTTCTATATAATCCACACCACGAAATTACTTGACTGAAAAAAAGTTCTGTTCTGATTCTTTTGATTGTTAAGACACTTCCATGCGAAATTTGTGTTATATTCGTTCTTTTTTGAAAAACTTGCTTCTTCTTCTGCTTCTGTTTTTATTTTTCGGTTAACAAATTGTGTCACTTTTGAATTGAATTGTTCGACTTTTTTTGTTGTCTTTGGCACAAACCAACACACAAAACAGACCGACAGCCAAGGCAACAGCAAAAGAAGTTATTGCACAAATCGTTGTTCTTTGAAAACTTAGAAATTTTATTTCTTTGCTTGACTGGGCAACAACTTTTCCTTTAGAGCCAGTTTCTTTCTTTTTACGTTTATTTTTTTCGTTTCTTTTACTTTTCGGTTAACTTGAACGAAATTTCTTTGCCAATGAAAGAACTCACACGAAAAAGACCGGCTTTATGGTCTTCTTCCAGCGCAACAGACACACAACACAAAGCTCTACGATTGTTCTGAGTTTGTCACCGAAACCGGAGTCAAGAAAATCCAGAGAAAGACATTCGTTTTTTTTTGTTGTAGGCGTACAATCAACGAGTTGCAACGAACTGTTTGGTGGCCAAGACGTCTTGATCTTACAGCGTTCGATTCGGAACTGAATGTTAAAATCTTACAACCATCTACTTTTGGCCAAAAGAAAAATCTTAATCTTTCATTACGACGAACACGAAACGACGAAAACAAAACGGAGTAGAAGTCGTGGTGGTGGTGTTCGGGCCCACAAATGTATGCTGCTGGCTTGCTGGAAAACAAGAGAGAGAAAGAAAGGTCCAAAACGAACTGAACAAACAACAATATCAAGCATAAGTTAGGCTCATGGGCAAACAAAAGAGAGACAGCCAACTCACCAACCAACAAAACAACCAACCAACATGTGTGTTGATGGCTTAAAACAACAAGTGTGGCTTAAAACTGGCTCAAACAAATATCGATCGTAGTGTTCAACACATGTTGGGATAGTTGTGTGGTGTTTTGTCAATTTGATGTCATACCAGGTATATTCAGTTCTTAACATGTGGCTCAAAGAGATAAAGAGTTTTTTGTTTTCGTTGTTGTTTTATTTCTTAGTTAGGACTCTTCTGCGGTGTTTGAAGTCTGTTTCTCAGAGTTGTGAGGGTTTTTTATGACAATTGATTAATTTGAGGGTAAATATGTATTACCTTTTGTTTGAACAAAGAAGATTGATTACTTACGAACGAAATTAGTTGAAAAATTTTCTCAGTTAGTGACAAAAAATGACGAAATCAATTGTATATGGCTGGATCTAATTTCGGATTTACACTATGGTCTTTGTATTTGTTTCTATCCTCGACCATTCTATGGAGGTTATATTAACTTTGTCATTCCTTTTGTAACTCCTCGAAATATTTATAATAGACCCTACAAAGTATGTATATTCTGGATCAGCGTAAAATTCTAAGACAATCCGTAGGTCTGACTGTCTGTTTGTCCGTCTGTCTGTACGCTTTAATCACGCTATCTTTCGAACGAATTGAGATAGAAGGCCAAAATTTTGCCTACATGCATAGTTTACCAGTAGGCAGATTAAGTTTGTAAATGTCGATCCACGTTTTCGTATAGCCCCCATATAACGGTACCTCCCGATATTCTGCATTTTCATGATTTTAGCGACATTATTTGCCGGAATTATTTCAAGTTTCATATTTAAAGTTCGTTAAGGGTACTACAGCCTATGACAAAAAAATGTAGTATGGAGGTCTACTTCTTCTAATAGCCCCCCAAATAATGGTAGCTCCCAATATTCGGTATTTTGATGATTTCTGCGACATTATTTACCTGAATTATTTCAAATTTCGTATTTGAAGTTCCTAAGGGTACTACAGACTATGACAAATATTTTTTTATGCAGTTACACGTCTTCGTATTGCCCCTATATAACGGTACTTTCCGATAGTCGGTATTTTGATGATTTCAGCAACATTATTCATGGGAATCGCATCAAATTTCGTATTGGGAGAACTTAACTACAACCTATGGAAAAAGATTTCGTATGCTGGTCCACGTCTTCGTATTGCCCCTATATAACGGTACCTTCCGAAAGTCGGTATTTTGATGATTTCAGCAACATTATTCACCGTAATCATTACAAAGTTGGTATTTCAAGTTCCTAATGCCTATGACTAAAATGTTTGTATGCACGTCCACGACTTCGTATAGCCCCTATATAAAGGTACCTCCCGATATTCCGTATTTACATGATTTTAGCGACATTATTTTCCAGAATTACTTCAAATTTCGTATTTGAAGTTCGTAATGGGTGCTACAGCCTATGGCAAAAAAAAATCGTATCCAGGTCCACGTCTTCGTATAGTCTCCATATAACTTTTTTTAAGTGGTAGTTTCCGGATTTTTTTTTTTAATTTTCAAGTTCGTTCCAAATGGTGGAGGGTATTAAAAGAACGACCTGGCCGAACTGCTGTTTTTTTACTTTTTATTTTGAAACAGGTAAAATTACATAAGATAGACCCATAGTTCCTTTGGATGATCTATATAGAATTGATAAGAATAGATGATAGTAAAATCGGATTAAGGATATATATACCGTAACTATACGAAAATCTGAACCAATTTGCATAAAATTTGGCAGAGGTATTTTCGAGCAGCGTCTGATGTCCGGTGCCAAATATCATTGTTGTGGAGTGCATATTACTCATTGAGGGACTTTAACACCGAATCGGATGAAACATATATATGGGAGCTATAGCTTTATCTGAACTGATTTCAACCAAAATTTGGAGCACTTTATTTTAGGATAAATTAAGACGAAATTGACAAAATGCAGTCCATTTGGGCTGATATTAGTCATTTGGTGCACAAAAAAAACCTGAAATCGGATAAAGATATATATATATATATATATATATATAGTCCAATATCGGAATTTGGACCGATTTCTGTGTTGTATCTGATATCTGGTACCAAAGATCATTCTTGTGGAATGCATATTACTCATGTGAGGGACCTCAAATCGGATGAATCACATATATAGAAGCTATAGCTACGTCTGAATCGATTTTCAGTAAGTATTTGAAGTATTGCTTCTGGGCTTAATGTCGTCGGGAGTGCCAAAATTCAGTCCATTTGGGCTGATAATGGCCATTTGGTGCACAATAAACCTGAAATCGAATACAGATATATATGGGAGATATCTGATCCGATCTTAATAAAATTTAACAGAGATACATTAACACGTGAGGGACTTAAACTCCAAATCGGATGAAACATATATATGGAAGCTATAGCTATCTCTGAACCGATTTTCTCCAAATTTGTTGTACTTGCTTCTAGACCGAATTTTATCGGATGTCCCAAAATCAAAATGCAGTTTTTTATACCCTCCACCATACTATGGAGGGTATATTAATTTTGTCATTCCGTTTGTAACTCCTCGAAATATTCATGTCAGACCCAACAAAGTATATATATTCTTGATCAGCGTAAAATTCTAAGACGATTTAGCCATGTCCGTCTGTCTGTCTGTGTGTCTGTCTGTCTGTCTGTCTGTCTGTCCGTCTGTCTGTCTGTCTGTCTGTCTGTCTGTCTGTCCGTCTGTCCGTCTGTCCGTCTGTCTGTCTGTCTGTCTGTCTGTCTGTTGTAATCACGCTATCTTTCGAACAAATTGAGATAGAAGGCTAAAATTTTGCACACATGTATTTTTTCCCAGTAGGCAGGTTAAGTTCGTAAATGGGCCATGTAGGTCCAAGTTATCATATAGCCCCCATATAACGGTACCTCCCGATATTCGGTATTTTGATGATTTTAGCGACATTATTCACCGGAATTATTTCAAATTTGGCATTTGAAGTTTGTAATGGATACTTCATCCAAAGTCAAAGAATGAGCCATGTAGGTCCACGTCTTCATATAGCCCCCATATAACGGTACCCCCCGATATTCGGTATTTTGATGATTTTAGCGACATTGTTTACCGGAATCGTTTCAAATTTGGTATTTGAAGTTCGTAATGGATACTTCATCCAAAGTCAAAGAATGAGCCATGTAGGTCCACGTCTTCATATAGCCCCCATATAACGGTACCCCCCGATATTCGGTATTTTGATGATTTTAGCGACATTGTTTACCGGAATCGTTTCAAATTTGGTATTTGAAGTTCGTAATGGATACTTCAGCCCATGCCAGAAAATTGTCTGTGCAGGGCAACGTCTTCGTATAGCCCCTATATAACGGTACCCCCCATATTCGGTTTTTTGATGATTTTAGCGACATTGTTTACCGAAATCGTTTCAAATTTGGTATTTAAAGTTCGTAATGGATACTACATCCTAAATCAAAAAATGAGCCATGTAGGTCCACGTCTTCATATAGCCCCCATATAACGGTACCCCCGATATTCGGTATTTTAATGATTTTAGCGACATTATTTACAGGGATTGTTTCAAATTTCGTATATGAAGTTCGTAATGGATACTTCAGCCCTTGCCAGAAAATTGTCTGTGCAGGTCCACGTCTTCGTATAGCCCCCATATAACGGTACCCCCCATATTCGGTATTTTGACGATTTTAGCTACATTATAAACAGATTTTTCTTCAAGTTTCGCATTTAAATATTGTAATAATTTATGACAACAGTTGCCTATGCAGGCCCACGTCGTCGTATAAGCATTCGGTATTTTTAAGATTTTAAGAGAATTTTTAACGGGTTTTATTTTTTGGAAATTGCCAAATTTGTACCAAATGGTGGAGGGTATTAAAAGTTCGGCCCGGCCGAACTTACAGCTTTTTTACTTGTTTGGACTGATATTGGCAATTTGGTGCACAATTAACCCGAAATCGGTTGAAGATGTATATGGGAGCTATAACTAAATTCCAAGCGATCCTCACAAATTTCAATATGGTCTTCCTTGGGCCAAACAAATAAATTTCATAGCGATCCACACAAATTTCAATAGGGTTCGTCCTTGGGCCAAACAAATATTGTTTGGAAAATTTCATATCAATCAGATAAGAAATACGACTTGCATTTTGGTCACAAAAATACATGGACAGACAGACGGACTGACATGCATAAATCGACTCAGAAAGTGATTCTATGAAGATCCTCCAAAGTAAATATGGGTCTATCTCGCTTCTTTCTCCATGTTACAAACAAATGCACAAGACTTGATACCCTAACTACTATGTGGTGTAGGGTATAAATATTACAAAAAATATATCGAGTGCTCCGAATATTCAGCCAGATAGACCGACGGTTGTTGTCCAGCAACAGATTTAGCACCAAGAGACATGGCATATAATCCCGTTATTTCGATGAGATACAGAATTGTCTATGTAATAGTTATCCACTGCGGTCATATGGCTGAAATTACAACAGCATATAAATTACCTAGGCAGTAAGGGTAAAGGATTCTCAACAGAGCGCATTCTGTCATACAGGGTAAAATATAATTTCAAAATAAATAGAGAATCCTCCACAGGACGAATCCAGTGAAACCTGTAATTGAGTGAGATTATGTTGAATCAAATAATTATATGCGTCTTTTGGGATAACAAAAAAACTCTTTTCACATCAATACCAACATGATTTTTAACTAAGACGTGTGTTTACATTTTTTTCCCCTTATTGGAGGAAACAAGGTCCAAGCGAATAAAATGTTTTGCATTTTCTAAAACACACAGAATCTTTATAAAGAATGTGAATTTTTGTATTCAATCTTGATTTATAGTTTTCTTATTATTTTCATTCCTACATTTGTATGTGGG